GTCCGAGTCTGTTGAACTCGGCGGGGATCCCGGCATGGAGCTCCACACATACAGTCTGGACTTCGAGTGGGCTACACTCGTCGGGCCGAGACGCTTATATATATATATACATATACATACATACATACTTATGCTTTTTCTGCTTCTTCTGTGGATCAGGGGCTCCAGCTTTCGGGGGAGTCCCCTAACCCCGAAACCCTAACCCCTAAACCCCGAACCCCTAAACCCTGAACCCCCTAAACCCCTAAACCCCTAACCCCAAACCCTAAACCCTGAACCCTAACCCCTAAACCCCTAACCCCAAACCCGAAACACTGAACCCTAAACCCAAACCCGAAAAACTGCAGCTCAATGGCCGTAGCCCAGCTTCCCGGAGCCAACCGCCTTCCAGAGCTCGTGGATTGAATGCAAAAGGATCTACGCTTTCTCATTGGCTGCTCGCTTGATGTTTAGGGTTACTCTGATATCTGCTGGTTTTTTGAGAAGAATACTTACTGCCGCTCGCAAAGAATCAAGAATTAAACCTGGCTGAGTTTAGGCTTCGGGGCTTGGGGTGTTACCGCGAAGGCTCCCGGAAGTAGGGATGCCTTGTGAGGTGTTGCTGGATCCTGATCCGGCGTTTGTCATCAATTCCCTTTCCTTTGCTGGGCCCTAGTTTCGGCTTTCGGATCTCAGGTGGGGTGGATGAAGTCGAAGACGGCGCAGGCACCAATGAAAGTAAGCAAATATTGTTCACCAATGGATGGACTAAGGATTCTCAAGGGCAGATGTGACAAACTACAAGTGTAGGCCACGACGTCCCATCGAAGAATCAATAAAACCCAAAGCCCCGAGCACCCCAAACCTGACACGTGTCTTGCAAGGAGCCTCGGCCAGAGTGGCGAGCGATCAGAGAGGGGAGCAGGGTTGATCACCTGGCATGCAAGCTAGCTGACAGAGATTTTGGTTGCAGGTTTGACGGATTTAGGCTAAAGAACGATGAAGACAAACTGAGCAGGGCCGAGACAGCTGGGTCTTGGAGTCAGGTTCAAGGCTGGCGAAACCGCAAACTTAAACCCCAGAGCGCCGCACCCCGGTCATGCGCGGCTTGACTGATGCACCAGGCTTTCCAGGAGTTCTGATACAATGACTTCTGTTGGCAGAATCACTGTTGTGGCACTGTTGCTGTAATAGCTCCGATAATGACTCCAGAGGTGCTGTTGCTGCTGTTGTTGTTGCTGCCGCTGCCGCTGCCGCTGCCGCTGCTGGTGAAGTTGTTGTTGAGGAGGAGAAGGAGGAGGAGAAGGAGGAGGAGGAAGATGTGGCTGCTGCCCATGCAGTCGTTGTCATCTTTATCCTGGCAATTGTCTGCGAAGCGTGCTTCCCACTTTCTCTCTGTGACTGCTAATCTGGCAGGTCTATGTGTATGATGTCTGAGGAAGTAGACCGTCCGAATGGAAGCTCAGTGATGGCAGGATACCGATGGCTGAGGTCCTTGTGCTCTCCGAGCCTGAATCGCAACCTCACCCGACATACCCTACACCTGTCAAAGCCAATATTCCCCCAGTCCCAAAATCTCCAAACCACGACTACGAGTACCAACCGTCGTACCGGAGGCTCACCTGGTTGTTGTTTTTCCGGACCATGTCCTTGCAGCGAATCTCTCATGCGGCTTTGCGTGGCAATGCCAAAACGTGGCAATGCACGCATACTTGCATTGCTTACAGAAAGAAGCATCGTGATACAGTACTAAAAACCAACCGCAATATGACAGGCTTGTTCCATGCCCTTGTTTTTTTAATATCTGGCTGCGGATTGTTAGAGAGTGCTGTAACACAGCGTGTATGCATGTGTGTGTGTGTGCATGTAGATACGTATATTTGTATGTATGTACCTACGTATGTGTATATCTGCATGTATGTATGTATGTATGTATGTATGCATGCATGTATGTATGTATGCATGTATGGTATGGTAAGTATGGTATGTATGTATGGCATGTATGGTATGGCATGGTAGGGTAGGGTATGGTATGGTGTGGCATGGTATGGTGTGGCATGGTAAGGTATGGTATGGTATGGTATGGTATGTAATGTTTGATGTATGTAATGTATGTAATGTATGTAATGCATGTAATCTATGTCATGTATGTTATGTATGTAACGTATGTAATGTATGTAATGTAATAACTAAGGGTGGTATGTATGTCTGTATGTATGTACGTAGGCATGTATGTATGAATGTATGTATGAATGTATGTATGTAAGTAAGTATGTATGTATGTATGTATGTATGGCATGTATGTAAGCTTGTACGTATATATTTTATGCATGTATGTATGTGTGTACGTATTAGGAGTATGTGCATATGTGCACGTATGTGTGGATGCATGTGCGTGTATGCATGTGTTCATGTGTCAGTGTGTGTGTGTGTACATGTGTATGCGTATGTGTATGTGTAAGTCGTGTAAGTGTAAGTGGACGTGTACGTGCACGTGCATGTGCAGGTGTATGTGTAAGTGCGTGCAGTTGGTTTACATATGCATGTGCGCATGTGGGTTTTAATCTCTGTGTGTATGTATGCACGCGTATGTATGTATGTGTGTATGTATGTATACATATATATATATTCCATGACATACGTATTTATCTGTCTCGTCTTGATCTGTTCAGTTGCTGTTTGGTTTTGCAACATATGCACAAAGATGTCTACAGGCATGCACATAAACATCAAGAGTTGGAAGTCAATTAGATAGAAGAAAAGGTATGTCTGCGTTGCCAACCGTGTGTACATGTCCATGTACATACGTGTGTTCACACATAATTGTATGCACGTGCCTTTGTGGCTGCATATGCCTCTGCAGGTGCACCTATGTATTTGCATATGCACGCATGCCTGCATGCACGCATGCACGTATGCGCGTATGTACGCATGTATGTATGCAATGCCGGTGCAGTTCTTCAGGCAGCGAAATTCTGCTACGACACAAAACATGGACAGGCTTGCGAGCCTGGCTATTGTATTGATTCTGGCCTGTATCCTGATTTTCCTGTCTTTGTCCACTGGAGTCCGGTGCCGCACGGAGTTGTATCAGCTTGAATCCGCAGTCCGGTACGTGGGCGAAGTCCCCTCATGCATCAATTTGGCGATCAAGGTCACAGCATGGTTTTTGCTGATGATCCCGCTCTCGCTGGTGACCTTTACGTGTGCATTTGCCGAAGAGGTCAGACCACTCGCTGTTTGCGATAACCTGTCCTGCTCTGGCGTATCCGTATCGGGACGGTGGATGTGCAATGCACAGATTTGCCGGGTCCGAGTTAGCCGAGTACAGACTCTGCAGCGTGAAAACTGAAAAGTGAAAAAAAGTATGTATGCTTGTATGTATGTGCTCTGTGCTCAACCTCCTTTCCTGCCGGAGTACACAATGCTCGCCGCACTCATAACTTTCGATTTGTTTGTAGGTGTAACTGGTTGGGCAGTTCCTGGTGCTGCCGGTTGCTCGCAAGTTGAAGCGGGGCAGTCCTGGACAACGCACGGCACGCCGTCCACCAGCACCTGCGAGAGACCCAAAATTACACGAAAATCTTGGAGTGTTCGTTGCCGGATGTTAAGAAGGCGTTGACCTCGTGGCGCGCTGCGAAGTCGCCCTTACCCACCGAGAGGGCATCGGCCTTCCAAAGACGAGCATTCTACTGTACTACTATCCATTACACATGTACATGTGAAACGCACATGGCCCCTACTTCAGATCAACCCAATCGACCACGGCATCGACATCGCAGCTGCCTCTAGCAAGATGGGTGCGCCACCCAATCGGCCGACCTCGTGGTAGGTGAGCAAATAAAGTTTTGTAGATCATAGTAGGTCATAGTAAATCATAGTAGATCAAAGTACATCATAGTACTTGTCTGTTCTTGTACATCAGGAAAAACGATGACTGGGAATGCTTGGGAGCGAAAGCACCCCGACTCCTCAACTCTTAATCCTTGGGTCCACACTTGCCGCGTCTTCAACTCGTGCATGGTGGGGAAGACCTGTTGAGAAGCGACATTCGAAGGGGCTTTCGGAGACGATGGGATTCGATTTGATAAGGTATACACGAGATCACAGTGTGTAAGTACGAACCATCTGCTGCTGTTTGGTATTATCCACTCTCATCTTGCTAGAGTCTATGACCATGAACTAGACGGTTGATCATGTCCGAATAGTGTCTTCGGTAACATTACCTCTGCTTATTGTGGGTCAACCAGCTTTGATCCCATGTTGGTTTGAAGGATCCACCATGTATGAAGAGCAAGAGAACTAAGAAATACTCAAATGTCAGACCCAATGGTACTCGTGCTCATAAAAAGCTCTGCATGACTTGTAGGCTTGTCTCGACCCTACACCTCAGATCCTGAGATTCTGAAGCTGTTTCAGCAGTTATGATGTGGTTATCAGTACACATTCAAATTCACTGTTACAGGGCAGTTTCCATGAAAGGCTACATCGACCCTGTTGAAGACCTTTCTTCTAAAGGGCCCAAAACAAGTTCCCCATGACACAGGACTTCAACGTTTGTCACGGGTAAGACGTGTGTGTGTGTGTGTGTGTTTTTGTTTGTTTCCAAATGACCATGCAATGGTGTTACCCTCCCCCTTAAAGCCATGAGGACCTGTCATTTCCACAGTTCTGTCGCCGGGAGTTTGGGGTTTGGCTCCCAGAGGTTCCTATGGCCCGGAGCCCTCAATGCCGGCCTCGATGGCGTACTCACGACCTTCGAGGTTCGTGGTGTGGAAGCCCATGACCTGTCTCTGGCTCTGCCCTACCGAAACCCTGAACGATAAAAACAAATGTGTTTCTACCAGCCATGACTGATTCTTGGGCTTGATGATAGAAGCAACAATAGCAAAAAGAGGAATGGCAAGAATGGCAAGAGTGAAACTGAGAGTCACACATACAAATTCGTATTAAGACTAGTGACAGTTTAATAAACAAAAGTTGAAACAATGGCTCTAGGATGCTATCAGTGATGAGAATCATTAGGATTTTGGGACACTGATTACCTCTACTGTCGAACTAATCTCTAGGGGAAGTCCGCTCGCTGCAACGGGCCTCCCAACTATTCCTGCCATAGCCCTCGCCGGTCTTGGCATCTTGGAGGACGTAGGTGAAGTTGTAGTATCCTGCTGCCAACCGGATTTAGGGTATGTGCCCTCACAAGGTTGAGAGTGTGGGGTGTCCGACTTGGGGCCGGGCTGGGCCAATTGGCAGAGCCATGCACAGGCATTTTGCAGTTCGTGAGTATTATCTTTTTGTACAGTATGTAATATTATACTGTAGTGTGGTATAGTACATTATAGTATACTATAGTTGCTTAACCCCGAAATCAGCAAAGCAAAGACGGAGAAACCTGCATGAGTAAAGTCACGCCATGCGGCCGAAAGAAAGCTCACAGGCCTCCGGTACAGGGCCGTCCGATAAAGTCCCTAAACCTGAAGCCTTGAAGCCCTTAAATCCTGAACCCTGCAGTCTATGTACCCTAAGATTGAAAGCTTCCTCACGCGATCTGCGATCTAAGTCCTGCAGGAGTTCCTGCGGAGACCTCGCACACCTCGGCGCCCAGAAACCCGAAACCCTAAACTCTAAACCTCCGAGGCCGTATCCCTAGGGCTTAGGGGACTTTAGAGTTCAGGGTTTAGGTAAACGGTTTAGGGAGTTTAGGGTTTAGGGTCCCTGAACCCTAAACCGTTCACCTAAACCCTGAACTCTTCAGCCCCCTAAACTCCTAATCCCTACGCGCTGCCCTGCGGCTGGAACTGTTGAGGGTTGGGAGAGCTTAGGGCTTTTTCTAGTACAGTATTAGCACGATCACTATGACTATGATTAAGACCATTATTCTTACCTTTGTTACTATCCAGAACCCTAAAACCTAAACCCCAAACCCTAAACCCTCAACCTCAGAAGAAGAAGACCTTAGGGCCTTAGGGCCTAGGGTGGAAGCCTCCTGGGCTCCCTTCCTGCCCCGGGGGAACAAAGAGAGAGGCAACCTCCTTGGGCCTGGGCCTGGGGAGCTTCTTCCAGGAAGAAAGAAAGCGATGAAACTAACAACAATAGTAATAGCAATAATAACAATAAATGGAAAAAGGAATAATAATCATAATAACAATAGTAATAATAACAGGAGTGGTAATGAGACTAATGATGGTCATCATAAAACCATAATCGTAGTACACTTCCCGGAATGGAGAAACTCGCGAAAAGAGAAGTGACTGGGCTCCCGTGGCTCCATCGAACATTGTGGGTGTCTCGAGGATATCGCAGCGAAACTCCTCCCGGCCACCTCCCAGGCAGCTTGCATTCAATTTTGCAGAGCTCCTACCGACACGAGAAGCTGAAACCCTGCGAAAAGCGGTCCACTGAACATAGCAGGGAGAAAGTCGCCAAAGTTGAAATCCGGTCCCTGCACAACCACCCAAGCGCCCAAACACCAAGTGAAGACATCAGAACAGGAGCATGCTTCGTCCTCCTACCCAACGCAGCCATGGGGCCTGACATATGATGTTGACATGCCCCGGCCTTTGTCAGACAGGACCTCCAGTCCACTGCCCAGGTAGGCGTGCATAATCTCTGTGGCATTTCGCTTCTCGCCTGCATAATCGTGGCTCGGGACACGGGCCTACAGAGGATTCCAGCTTCAAGCAAGGAGCACAAGAAAACAGGACGAAATGATCTGCCAGCAGAAAGCTAAGAAGCACTGCAACGCACTCTGTGCTCAATAAACTAACCAGCTTCCATAAGCCTTCAGAACAGCATCCCCTGCTTCCGGATCGCCTGTGTCTTCAAAGATCTCTTGCATGTTCAATTCCAGCTGCTTGAGCAAGCTTCCCTCCCAAGTCACCTCAGGCACGGTCTTCCGGGTTGGTAGTTGACGAGAGCTTCGGGTTTCCAGTGCTGAGACTCTGTGGTGACCTTTGGCTCTCTGAGAGCCATCGGAGGAGGAGGAGGAGGAGGAGGCGGAAACGAAGGAAGAGGAGGAGGCGGAGGAGGAAGGGAGGAGCAGCAGGAGGAGGAGGAGGAGGAGCGGGAGCAGGGGCAGGGGCGGAGGCACGAGCTGAAGCTGGACGACCACGAAGACCATGCTGCTTATGAAATCGTGCATCCTCCTTCTCACCATAACAAACAACAACATCAGGACGACATCAACATCAACGTCATCATCACCATCACCCCATCATCATGACCATCCTCATCCTCACCATCATCATAATCATCAATCCTCATCGGTGACGGACGAGACAGACAACAAAGAACGTGCCTCCCCCACTTGGGCAAATGGCCGCAGGTACGTCAAGTTCGCTCAGGCACTGGCATTGTGTATGACTTGGGTAGCTCGAGTTGGAAGGTACGTGACACTCGGTGTCACCCTGCAGCGGAGCGTGCACTTGGATGTCAAGCTATGGAGTGTGTGCCTTTCCGACCTGTCGTAGGTTCGGAACTTGTCTGTCCGCAATGTCGCGATGTGACCTCCCAGTGGCTGATTCGCTAAAGACAGAAGCTCCTGCTTTAGGACTACTGGAAGCGCTGAGCACGGCCTGAAGTATAAACCACTTCCACGTCGTAGCCCGCGCGAACTGGGCGCATGGTGCGACTCATAAATGCGGAGTTGAGGGGTAGTAAATGCCCTGGGTCTGAACGGTGCCTGGACTGACGAGACATATCACACAAAACGCAGAACTCCGCTGCTGCTCCCAACAACTGTACACGATTCAGAAGGGCTGATGCACAAACTACACTGACATCATCTGATTTCAACTCTACGCGATTAGCTTTTGGTGTTAGAGTCTGAGTATTCAATCTTGCCACTTTGGCAGGACGCCTGTGCAAGACGCTTTAAAGGGCTCCGAGCTGGATCACGACTCTGGGACGAAAAGCTCTACAGTTTGCTACCTGGGTTCTTCGGAGACATGTTTCCAAAAGGTCCATCGAGTGCTGAGGGATTCAGGTTTCAGAGCTTGGGAAATGGACTTCGGCTGTTCCTCTCATCTGGATAGACATGGCACCGTGTGACAAGATGAACGGTATAAGTATAGCCTCAACAAATTACATTTGCTGACGATCATACAGACATGAAGAAAGTCTGCTCAAAAAAACGCAGCAGCTCTGCCACTTGATGCCAAACGCCAACACCCCTAGCTCAAAAGCTGGCAAAAAAAGCTTCAAGACCTTTGCTAGAAGAACGCAGGAACGGTCCGACTCAAAGGAGAGGAGCACAAGTTCGTCTCAAAAATTGGCAAGTGCGAAACAAAACCCAGCATCTGTTGGCACATGTTTCTGCAAACTGCTACGGCAGCGCGTGGGGGTGCGCTAAACCAAGTGCATACTGCGGCCGGTCCAAAACTCTGGAAAGCTAATATGCGATTCAGAAGTCTTTTGCAAAAATACCCTTCCCTTCTTTTCAGCGAAAGAAGAAGCCGCGTGTCTTCCCTGTGTTTGTTCAAGGGAAGTTAGGAATCCTTTTAGGAGCGCGCCAAGAGCGGTTTCATGGGGCTGAAGCCGAACCTTGATCCCCCAAATCCCGAAACCCGATGTCAAGGGTTTAGGGTTTAATGTTTGCGATTACGGTCTTCTCGGGCTTGCACGCTGCGGCAGGGCAGGGGAGTACACCGTCATCTCGCCATCCTGGATGACTTCGGCTCAGAGTGTGCGATTTAAGGCAATGGGCCGTCGGGGTTTTAACGCAAAGATTTCGAGTGGCAGGAGACTTGGAGATCTGTTGCAAGCTCCGCTGTGATCTTTCAGAGGCTCGGAGGCTCTCATGAAAGCCTTCACAGCTTGAAATGCTGCTGGGCCTTTGAATTCTCAAGCCAGAGCTGGGCTTTGTATTGTAGCATTGTAGCTCATTTTCGTCGCTGCTGCGATGTTTCCAAACATCATCTTGCAAAGCACTGCAACTGCAACTGTATATGCATCATACTTTAAATCCTGCGTACCCCTGCCTTCACCGACGGCTCGAAGATGTGGCACGGCTTCCCCCCGATTAGCACCTGGCAGCTAATTGGTCGCGTTGTTTGAAGCTGAATTTCTATTAAGCCCTTGCAAGCTTAAACCCTTCAAGCCTTGAACCTCGAACCGTTTAAGCCTTAAGGCCTGAACCCTTTCCACCTCAAACCCTTTAAACCTTGCGCCTCGCTGACATAAGCGAAACCGGCCCCGGCGATGTGGAGCTCGGTGCCGCCGGCGGTTGAACCCTGCAGCGGCTCGACCTTGAAGAACGCATGCATGCATGTGTGAGCATGTGACTGTGAGTGTGAGTGCATGTGTGTAGGTCCCATACACAGATTTACACAGATACTTATGGATGCATGCATGCAGACATACATACATACATACATACGTACATACATACATACATAAATACACGCATGCCTGCACATGAACTTGAAGATCAACTGCTTATGTAGTGTGCATCTCTTGCTCTATCTATACTGTTACATGTTTCTAGGCATGCATGCATGTATGCATGCATGCAGGTACATGTACCTCTTTGTTGTTTGTTACTTATGCTCTTAGCTATTTCTATGCAGATGGAGCAGCTGGCTTGGAAGATGCCGTTTGACGTCGGAGAGATGGGGAGACTTTGCAAAAAGGGTTCCAAAGATTGTTGCACCTTTAACCCTAAACCCTAGAACCTAACCCTAAACCCTAAAACCGGAACGGCCTTTCACTGCAATTGCCCATTCCTTGCAGAAGACGTCGAGTCTCAGCGCCCGGCGCTGAAAACAATGCCGAATCCTTTGACCTGGGCGGAAGCTGGGATCAGGGAACCAGACCCCTCGATACGGGAGGATACGTCAGGGATGGATTCTCGATGTGCGTCGCACTATGCTAACACCTCAGCTTCACATACTCACATTCTCCATCCCTGGAAGAGTTCTTGGGGGAACCCTCAGGGCAAACCCCTCGGCCCTCAGAAGGGTCCAAGGTGAAGCTTTGAGCTGGGGGGCCACTCTGGGCTGCAGGGCCGAGGACTGAGTGCTTCGGGCTTTTGCTTCTGGGATTTACAAGTAGGACTTGGAGTTGGGTCTTCGGGCTCTGGAGTTTCCAGGAAAAACGTCCGCGATGTCTGCGCTTTCACCCGAAGCAGCCAGAATTCAGGAGCCCTAGATCCTGAACCCTGGACTCCTAGAGCGGAACTTGCCATGCGATCCTCGGTACTGCTCGGAGCTGAGGTCGTCACCCCCGCAGACACGAGGGTAACGGCCGCAGCGAGGACGGCTGCCCAAAGGCAGCCTCCATGCTTTCGGATTTCGGATGCGACAGCTCCAGGGGGTGGTGAAAGGGGGGCCTCGAAGCCTTCCGCAGGTTCAGGATCCAAACTCTCCTATGCAAGCATGCTGCATTCTTCTAAGGCAGATGGGGCCTCCCCGCTGACCATCCGGTATCATCGCCATAAAACCTGCGCCGTAAAGATGCAGAAGCTGGACACCAGAGCATCACAGGGTTTCAGTGACGTCATGGGCTTTTTGCATACGTGACCGTTCTAGCATAATCCTCATCCTCATTCTCTTGGATGCAGCCCCCATTCGGCAACTTGCACAGCCGACCTGGCCTCTAAAATCCTAATGCAACATGGTTCCTGGAAGTGGCGCGCAAAACGGCAACCAGCGGGCATCAGCGAGCATGCTAGCATCTGCCACATGCAGGGTTCTTGTGGCGAAACTGAAAAGGTCTGTGAGTTCATGCGCCGAGGCCCACATTGTTCACATGGTCTCTCCTCTTGCACATCTTGTTGACAACTTGCGACCGCATTCACGATGCTGAGTGAAACGACGGCAGATGTGCTAAAACAGAAGACACACTGGCAGCAACCCATAGACCTTGCAGTGCTTTGGTCAAGGACAAGACAACGAGCATACCACTCAAACCGATCCAGTGAAAGCGGTTACAGGTCAAATGCAAAGACGGTGAAACCTTGTGAAACTTCTGCAAGCTGATTCTGAGAAGGCTTGTATTGGGCAGCACGCTTTGCGTGCTGCCCATCACTGGCAAGCTCAGCTACTAAAAGTCTCCGAAGTAGATGTTGTGTGTCCTGAGCAACTTTGAAAAGCGCTCCCAGTGTCGTCCATTCTCTGCTTGGTCTGACAGGTGTGTCTCTCTGACGCGGCCTGTTGTCCTAACTTCCGACGAACGAGCAGGGTTTTATGCCGTGCATCCACTCTCCGCGTCTTCGTGCCTGAATAGACAAAGCCTCTCCAGGTCTGTCTGTCTATGCTTTGCTCCCCGATGCCATCTCACAGTTGCACACACTGCTGGCTGCAGGGTTTACAGGGGGAGAGCAGCGACAGGTCTTCACGGGAGTGTACAGCCATTCAACAGAACCGAAACAGGACAAAACCATGTCTGAACAAATGCAGCATTCGCCACGATTGCGGTTACAGGGCATTCAAGTCGGAGATCAGATTGATGATGCACTGCCACCCTGAGATCCGAGCTGTGTGATCCAGTCCGAGTCCTCAAGCCAGTCGATCAGAACAACCGCAGAATTGTAAAGAGCTCGGCAGGCTCAATTTTCTGAAGCCTTGCAGGCTTCAGGGGTTGCCGGGGTGTGTTGAGTTTAGGCTTTGTGAGGTTTAAGA